ATCTAGGAATGATGGCTGTCGTGTGAGCTTGTCCTGGGGAGACATAGACAAACATCTGCTCGCCCCAGATAGGGCAGCAAAGACTGACCAAAGCAATGACTCCATCCGAGAGCAGCTTGGCAAAGTGAGGAGGTTGGATTTACCGATGAGAACGTGAATAAGGGCTTGCTTGCAGGAGTGTGGGTGACCCCAAAGCTTCTGATCACTGAAAAGTCTCACCCCAACACGAATGACAACATCATCATAGCTACACAGATGGAGCCCCCCTCAGTTAAGCTCCCACACTCTATATGAGCCATCATGTCCTGGGGGCAGAATTACATACAGCTGCCAGGAGCATGCAGGGCAGAGTGGCTGGGTCTTAGGTGAGAGTCTCCTGCTATGGGGAAGATCAATAGGCCTGATCTTGAGGGTCACTTACAAGTTGTCACAAGAGAAAATATAGCACTCAGGCAATGACTAAGTGGATAGGAATGGAGGTGAGAAGGGAGCCACAGAGCAGGTGAGGATGGAGGAGAAGTAAGAAGACTCATGTTGAAGGGCAACTTGTGGGATGGGCTTGAAGACGTGGGCTGCATTCTGTGTCCACAGTGATCTCCTTCCCTTTTTTTCCCCTCCCTCCACAGACATTTGGTGCTCCAGAGCCCAGTGATCCCCCACTGTACAACACACACCATGTCATTGCCATGCGGCATGCAGCTAGGGCTGAAGACAAACTCCAAACCCAATGCCACCAGCGTTGTGGGTGATAGTACAGGATACTGTGGGAGGACCCAGGTCACAGAACCCACATGGGGCATTTGGAGAGGCCCCCACGAGGAAGTGATGTGCCAGCTGAGGCCTGATGGAGGCAGGATGGGAACCTGACAGAGATAAATACCTTGGAGCATTCCAGACAGATGCGGCCGTGTTTTGCAGCCACATCTATGGCAGCACTGCCCACCAGAGAGATGTTTTCATTCCCACGGCTTATGGCCTCACTTGGCCCCCAGACCTGGCTGCCCTCCCCAGTACTCCTGAGAGTCCCCGCCCTTCTCTCTGACCCTGACTCTGCTTTCCTCCCACTGCCATCACTGTGTGGGATCTGGGGACTGCTGGAGGTTGGGACCTCCCAGCTTGCTCTCTGCTTCTCATCTCTCCTCCCAGAGATCAGCATCCCTGGTTCCATCACTTGCTGCGGTCTCTTTCAGGAAGCGGTATTTCTGCTGCTCTCAGCTTCTAGGGGCTATCTCATGCAGACCTGACCTCTTCCTTGTCTGTAACCTCTCCAGAGCCTGCTCTGCCTTCCCTCCCCGTACCCTGCCATCTCTGAGTGACTTCTTTACCTCTAGTCTTCTTGCTTCCTCCTCCCTCCCAGAGAGAGAGTCTGTATCCCGGACTCAGCCCTGCTTTCCATGAGTCCTGTGCCTACAGCCAGTCAGGTATCTCTGCTGCTAATTTCACACTGTTTTGGGTGGACATGTCCTTCTTCCAGTGAGATCCCAAAGTGAGCCCTACTGTCTGTAGATAAAGTCCAGCACTTACAAGAACATCAGCCATTCCCTTCTTCCTGCTTTCTTGCTCCTCATGGCTAAGACCCAGTGACCCTGAGTCATTCCCTGCTTTTCTGTGTCCCTGTCAACTTCTGAAGGCTCTAGGCAAATGCCCCATTCTGCAACTGTCCACTGTGACAGGCCTTCAGCAGGACCAGTCTCAGCCTTCTTTGTGTCTGGGAAATGACCTCTGATTTATTTTGTTATTCATAGTTTTGTTGTGGTATTATTTGTATTTTTGTTGTTTGGTTTGTTTTTCAGAGACAGGGTCTCGTGTAGCCCAGGCTGGCCTTGAACTTCTGCTCCTCCAGCAGCCACCTCTCAGGTGCTGGCTTTGAACTCCTGATCCTCCTGCCCTCACCTCCCAAGAGCTGGGGTCATAGAGGTATGCACTACCACACCTGGTTTGTGTTTGCGTGTTTTAAGTTCTCACTGTAGCTCGGACTTGTGTCTACAATCAGCAGATCCTCCTGTCTCAGCTTCCCAAGTGCTGGGATGACAGATTGAACCACCACACCCAGTTTTGGTTTTGTTTAACTTTTCTGTGATGCTGGGGCTTGAACCTGGGGCCTGCACAAACCAGACAAACACTCCCTCACTGAGCTACATCCCCAGCCCCCTCTGGCATTTTCAGTCTATGGAGACCTCTTCCTGGGGGACTCAGTCACATCTCCTTGAGTGCTCGCCATCTTCAGCCTGGCCTTTCGGTTAGGCCTGTGATTCTTCCTCCTGTACCTCAGGTCAAGGGCTAGGGTCCTTGGACCTGTGGATATGGGTTCCTGCGCGCAGCTTCGACACATGAGGAATAAAGGCAGGAGCGTTGTTTCAACAAGACCAAGAGAAATAGATAAGGTACAAAGCAAGTCTGTTCTGGTTTCACTGCTGGGAGTTTCACCTGAAAGCAGCACAGTTCCCAGGCCTGGAAACGAAGGTCCTGGCTTATCTTTTGTTTCATTTTATTCTTGGAGGCAAAATCTTGCTATGTAGCCTAGGATGGCCTGGAAGTTCTCACAGTGGTAGGACTAGGGGCGTGGACTATTATACCTGGCCACCCTGGATGCTCTTCTGTCTTCAACCATTGCACAGTAATTCTGAGTTGTGCCCCCTGGCCACATCCTGAGGGTGAATGTGACCAGCTGGTATTGGCCTGTTATTCTCTAGATGAGGAGAACTCAAATTGAATGAGCCAGGCCACGCAGTTTTGACTTCTGGGAAACACTGTGTTTTATTAGGGACCTCTAAAATCTACAAACCTTTAACATTCCCGTCTCTCTCTATGACTTGCAATTTCTGTTCTGTCCTTTGTAGCCCACGCTTCCGATTCAGTGAGCAGAGCGGACTGTGTTGATATAAGAGTGAGCAGGCCTGCCCGGGCCTGTGGAAACTGTGTAGATAGGAAAGGGCAGGTCTCCACAAGGCCTTCAGGGCAGTGAGTGTAGTCTTGTGGGGATGGGGCTCCCAGGGCTTCACCTTATTACTGTGTAAGGCTGTGCTGAGGTATTCAGGCCCCTCCAGGGGCTTCCTCCACTTCTTACACACGTGCACACACACACACACACACACACACACACACACACACAGAAAAGAGAAAACAAAGCACTGCAGAAATTCCATGGCTCCCAAGCATGCTGGCTTTGTTGTCCTGGAGCATCAGGGAAGGCAAGAACACAGAAAAACCAAAGCAAAGATTGTCTCAGTTCCCAGGGGAAGGTCTAGCTGGTGGGAATAGGAATGTCCCTGTGGTGGGTAGAAAGCTGGTCTTGGGATTAACAGACATATATACACTGCAGAGGGCTGGGATTCGTGAGTTCAGGGCAAGGAAAAAGGCTTCTTAGAGGATTAATCAAAACAGCAAATGCTCTTAGACACCTGGTAATTAAAAGCCACCTTCATGTACATGTACATGGGAAATCATGGCAGGTGATGTCTGCCTGGAGTGACAAAGTCCCTTGCTCGAAGGAGACCGTACTGAAGGCCATTGTCATCCTAAAACAACATGACCCTGGTAGTAGACACAGAATCCCAGTCGCACAGACAGGGCACTGTCTACTCGTCCACGGCTTGCCATTACTTTTTCATATCTGGTTTTAGCTTCTTTGCAATAAAACTTAAAAGACATTCATAGAGAGGCTTGGGAGGTGGTTGAGTGCTGGCTGCACTTACAGAGGACTGGGGTTTAATTCTCCACACCCACATGGTGGTTTATAACCACCTGTCACACCATTTCCATGGGATTCCTTGCCATCTTCCAGCCTCTGCAGGCACCAGACACACATGTGGTCCACAAACATACATGCACACAAAATACACATAAAAACGAACTTAAAAAAATCCATAGGGAAGGCAAAGAATTGTGGCCTGGAGTGGGTGCTGGGGAAGAGCAAGCACTGAACCTGAGTTCAGATCCCTACACCCACATGAAAGGTGGGTGTGGCTGATACCTCTGTAACCTTGACCCTGACTGGGGCAGAGTATAGAGACAGGCAGACTCCTGGAGTTCACTGACAAGCCAGTCTGGTTAGACATAAGAGACACCACCTCCTATAACGAGATCTGGTGCCCTCTTCTGACCTGCAAGGCATACATGTGGGCAGAATACTGTATACATAATAAATAAATAAATCTAAAAAAAAAGAAAGAAAGAAAGATATAGAAGGATGGTGGGAGACACCACCATCAAACCCTGGCTTCCATACACATGTGCAAACACATCACACAACATACAAATTTTAGCCTAGACTGGCAGGCCTAATTTAAGACAGAATGAAAACAAAACTGCTGTGAGATAATGCTCTTGTACCCTGTAAAGATTTGTCACTTGTATTGGTTTAATAAAACACTGATTGGCCAGTAGCCAGGCATGAAGTATAGGCAGGGCAACCAGACTAGGAGAATTCTGGGAAGAGCAAAGACAGAGACAAAGTCACTGGCTAGATGCAGAGGAAGCAAGATGAAAATTCTGCACTGATAAAAGGTACCAAGCCATGTGGCTAAACATAGATAAGAATTATAGGTTAATTTAAGTTGTAAGAGCTAGTTATTAATAAGCCTGAGCTAATAGACCAACCAGTTTATAATTAATGTAGGCCTCTGTATGTTTCTTTGGGATTGAACGACTATGGGACTGGGCAGAACAAGAACTTCTGCTTACACAAAATAAGCATTATTATAAGCTGTTTTAATAATAAGGATAAAATAAAGTAGGAGCCATGGGTACATGCCTCCATGGTTATATGCTTTCAGACATTTGAGATAGGACCCTGGCCTGCTTCACCTTTGTCCATTGTCTCCTGGAGCAGTTGCATCCTGGGCTTGCTCCACATTCTTGTAGCTCACCATCACTGAGGACCATCTCTGAGCATCAGTCAGGCCCTCATACTTAGTTGGTAGAAATTTAACTAACAAGGAAGGTTGACATTGCCATTTTCTTGTGGCCATGATTTTAATGAAGGTTGATTTTTGTTTTAGGAAGAAGAAAATGACTTTCCAGACAGCACTGGAGATCCCCTTTCAGGTAAAGGATGGCCTAAGGTTCCTGGGCATCAGGAGTAGCTGGGCAGAGTCATGAAAGTTATGCAGTGAATATGGGTATCATTGACTTGTGTTATGTGTGTGGCTTTATAACTATCTGACAATCAGCAGTTAGCATTCATCCATGTTGATTATAATTGTGTGCATGTGCACATGCATGTGTGTGTGCATGCGTATGCACATGCTTGTGTGTATTTGTGTGTGTGTGTACCTCAGTTTTTGAGACAAACTTCACCAGGCCCTCTCAGGCTCTGATAAGACTGAGCTAGCTGGCCAGGGATTCCTCCCTTCACCTTCCTAGCACTGGGACCACAGATGTATGTTACTTCCCCTGGCTTCTTTTTGTAGGTTCTGAGGACCAAACTCGGATGCTTGGACTTGCATAGCAAGCGCTTTGCTGAATGAGCTATCTTTCCAGTTCCAACCGTACCTTACTGAATGATCTATCTCTCCAGCCCCAACTGTACTTTACTGAATGAGCTATTTCTCCAGCCCTAACTCTACTTTGTTTTTAAACAATAGCATGTGCTTTGGTAACCAAAGCATAAATCTTGCCCAGTGACTCTTCATCCTTGTCATATTTTCTGGGTACAGTAGGAGACATTCTTTATTCCTGAGACCCAAACACCTCCGTGGAGCCTGGTGTCAGTACATACACTGGGAACACTGTCTTTCATGAACATGTCCCAGTCCCTTTGAGTGCCTGAGGGACTCACTTATTGAATGTGTCTTGATAACAAATTCTCAGTCACTTCTATAGAATCCCTTCTGAAAGGCCCAAGTTATGCAGAAGAGGGCAAGGGATTGTGGGAGGGGAAAACCTATCAGAACTGCTTACAACCTTCATGCAGAATAGAGTGACTTTCCATCCTACCTTGGTACAACCAATTACATAGCAAGGTGCGTCTTCATCCAAGGCCCCCCGCCACCCCAATGCAGTCTGGGGGATGGAACCCAGGACCCTCACATGTTAGGTAAGTGCCCTCCCTCTGAGCTATATCCCGAGTACTCCTGAAAATGTTCAGAGAGGTTTTTCTCTGATATGCCCCCCTTCGTCTGTAGACCCTGCACACTTCCTGTGCTGACAGCCACTGACCTGTAGTCCCTCCTCAAGACTGTGGCTTCCATCCCAGCTGTGCATCTGCAGTCTCTGAGGGAGCTGGGACACTCCCGGGCCCTGCTGCCTTGCCACACTAATTAAAATAGGACCTTGGTGGCTGGCCCAGATGTGAGGAGGATTTCCTGCAGGGGTTAGAGGGGATCAGTGGGCTGGGGAGATAGCTCATTCAGTAAAGTACAGTTGGGGCTGGAGAGATAGATCATTCAGCAAGGTACGGTTGGAACTGGAAAGATAGCTCATTCAGCAAAGCGCTTGCTATGCAAGTCCAAGCATCCGAGCCACTGTCCCCCCCACAGCTGTCCACTGGGCCATGCTGTGTGTTAGGAGGAGGCTTGGATGGATGATGTCTTTAATCCTAATCCTTGAAGCCACTTTTGAGACCACCGTCATTGCCTGTGTTCACAGAGTGGGACGAGGGCTTAGCACACACCTGTGCAACAGGCCATCTACCTGGCCACAGGGGCTTTCTCCCTAGCAACACTCTCATCTCTCCCTAGCAACGCTCTCTCATCTCTCACTAGCAATGCTCTCTCACCTTCTCCCTAGCAACACTCTCACCTCTCACTAGCAGTGTTCTCTCACTTTTTTTTCTTTTTATGTTCCTGTGGTCCAAGCTGGTCTTGAGCTAGCTATGCACCTAAAAATGCCCCTGAATTTCCAATTCTCCTACCTCCACCTCCTGAGTACTGAAGTCGACATGCATGCACTAGATTTATTTATTTGTTTGTTTGTTTGTTTGTTTATTTTTGGCTTTTCGAGACAGGGTTTCATTGTAGTTTTAGAGCCTGTCCTGGAACTAGAGTTCTTGTAGACCAGGCTGGCCTCGAACTCACAGAGATCCGCCTGCCTCTGCCTCCCAAGTGCTGGGATTAAAGGCGTGTGCCACCACCGCCTGGCGTACACCAGTTTTATGCAGTGCCAGGCACTGAATCAAGGCTCAAGCCTGCTGCACAAACCCTATATATACCCCTAGAGCTCTGCGCTCTGAGTTGATACCCATCCCCTGTCTAGAAGTGACCGGTAAGACAAGAGTGGTTAAAGCGTCGAAGTGAGGGGTGAGTATTTTCTCAATCATCTCCTCTCTTTCCACAATCTTTTTATTTAGAGACCAAGTCTGTACTGTTTTCCAGCAACATGTACTCCTGGCCTCCTCTTCCCTCACTGAATTCTCCCTTCCACTTCCGAACTGCTGTCAGGGGAGTGACACGTATGTTTGTACCTCCTTCCCTGGAGAAGCAGAATTCTCAGTTATTCACCCTTGGGGCAAATACATATTAAATTTATTCTTAAATATTATTTATTTAATTATGTATATGTGTGTGGTGGGCGGGTGGGGCTGTGTGCATGTGAACATAAGGGCCCAAGGAGACAGAAAAGGGCATGAGCTCCCGGGGAGCCAGAGTTACAGGAGGTTGTAAACACTCAAGTGCTGAGCCATCCTGCCAGCCCCTGCTTTTTAATTTCTAGAGAAAATTTGTCACTGGAGTAAGGGCTAGTCCCTTGTCATTACCGTAAGTGTCATTTATTCAGTGCCTGCTGTATACCCGGGGCCTATCTATCGCTTGAGAGGTATCGGGTCCTCCCCCAAAACTAGTGATTTCTTTGTTCTCTCTTTCTTCCTCAGGACATCTCAAAGTTTGTCCTTCCAGATAGAATACTGTATGAGATATGAGAAGTATTTGGAGTGTGGGAGGGGACAAAATATATTTCTTAGAAAATATTCTCACCACCTAAAGTTTATGCTTTTCTTTTTAGTTTCCTAGACAGGGTCTTTCTATGTCGTCCTGGCTGTCTTAGAACTTGCCACGTAAACCAGGCTGGCCTGGAACTCACAGAGATCCACCTGCCTCGGCCTCCCAAGTGCTGGGATTAAAGGCGTGTGCCACCGTGCCTGACACAGCTTATGATTTTAACAGGCAGTTTGAAATGTTCTCATGCATCAGTTTCACATGGGTTCCGGTATTGCTTTTCCACTTTATTCACCGAGGCGAGCTCTAATCTTTCCAGGCCGCTTGCTCTGTGAGTCCTTCTCTCCCTTTGAGGATATCACAGTCACGCAGCATTTACAGGGGGTCAGGGGTCAGGCTAGCGGGGTCTGAATTTAAGCCCTCGTGCTTGTTTGGCAAATGCTTTAACCACTGAGCCATCTCCCTAGGCCGCTATTTTGTTTATATTTGAGACAGAGTCATGCTGTGTAGCCCTGGCTGGCCTAGTACTCAGGCTTACACGGCAAATACTTTACCAGCTGAGACATCTTCTCACCCCGCCTTTGTTCAAATTCCTTACTCTCCTACAGCCACCGCTCAGTGACAGCATGTGTAGCAATGCGTCATCTTATAGTAAAGGTCACACCCCCCACAACTTTCCAATTCAGACTTTGGAGACATCATTATGCAGCTGACACTGCTTGTGGCCGTGTGTCCACAGAGTGGCACCACTGAGTGCTTCAGTGGGCGACTTCCTGATACCTCTTCCCCACTAACTTCCCCTTCCACTCGTGCTTTTGCCTCCTGGTGATAGATGACGCTGAGACGATTGAAGCTGGGGTGGGAACTGGTTTTTGGGTGAGGCCCAAGCTAGAGCCTGGTGTGCTCCTCGGCCTGCCTCCAGCTCCCCGCACACCCTGGGGGCTGCTGGCCACACTTCAGACAGAGCCTCTGTGAGTAAAGAAGACAGATAAAGCAAAGGAATGATAAGGAGGCTATAAATTCCCAAAGAAATCTTTCTGCCACTAGCCATGACAGATATGCTTTTGGTTTTCAGATACGTGCAGGGAGCAGGCGGGGACCAGTTTTCTTCCTTTTCAAGAACTTTTGAGGGGCTGTGCACAATCACATGTACCATCTTCATGTGCTAGGTTTGGTGTTAAAAGCTGTCAGGGAGGCCAGTGGAATGGCTTAGTAGGGAACAGTGCTTGCTGTCAAGCCTAGCAACCTGAGTTCAATCCCCGGGTCCCACGTGATGGAAGAGATAACTGAATCCTGCAATTTGTTCTCTGACCTTCACGGGATGTGGCACACAAGCACCTGTGCACACACACAACAGCAAACAACAACAATAAATGTAATTTTAAAAGTTGTTGTGAGCTGAAGGATGTGTGCATGAATTGGTCCCGGAAGCCTCATCTGGTCAATGGCCCTCCAAGCGTGTGCTGGAATGGGGAAAGCCTGGCTGGGAAGAGAGGTTGGCTTTATCAACTCTTGCTCCTGCTTCCAGTCTTTCTTTTCCTGTAAAGGGTAATGCCATAGGGGCTGCTGAGATGTCCCAGTCAGCAAAGTGCTTGCCTTGCAGAATGGGACCTGAGCTGTATTGCCAGCATCCCTGTGGCCGTGGTGCCCATGTCTATGACTCCAGTGCTAAGGAGAAAGAGATCCCTGGGGGCGCTGGCCAGTCTACTCTACTTAATAAGCTCCAGGCCAGAGATAGATACTGTCTTCAAAAACAAAACAAGCAAACAAAAACGAGCTCAATGGGCAAAATTCTTGCCGTTGCCTATCTAAAAGTAAAAGGTAGGTGCCTCGGAGACAATGCATAGCAGTAACCTGAAAAGTGGGTCCAGATTCAGGTAGATCCCGGAGGCTTGCTAACCAGCCCGCCTAGCCTACTCTGTCCATTCCAGGCCAGTGAGAGATGCTGAACTAAAGGTGTAAGTGGGGTGTGACACGCAAGGTTGCTCTCTAGCCTCCACACACCCTCGATGCACACCTGTGCACACGTGCACACCACTTCAGTGGCCGTGTCCACCGAGTGACACCACTTCACAGAAGAATAGCACTGTGTGAGCAGTAAGGCTGTGTGACACTTCGATGATGTCACCAAGACAGTAGGGAAATAGAGGGAACGTCGCTTGTGTTTGTCAGGCCCCTGGCCAAGCTGTGGCTTCTCTGTCATCCTGCAGGTGTCAGCAGAAACCAGCCATGTAAGGAAGGCTGCTTGTGCTCCTCCTGTTCACCCCGGGTCCCCACCATCAGCGACTTGCTCAATGATCAGGACTTGCTGGATGTGATCAGGATAAAGCTAGATCCGTGCCACCCGACCGTGAAGAACTGGAGGAATTTTGCCAGCAAGTGGGGCATGCCCTATGATGAACTGTGCTTCCTGGAACAGAGGCCCCAGAGCCCCACGCTGGAGTTCTTGTTCCGAAACAGCCAGAGGACTGTGGTCCAGCTGATGGAGCTCTGCCGACTTTACCACAGGGCTGACGTGGAGAAGATCCTGCGCAGGTGGGTGGATGAGGAGTGGCCCCACCGGGGACCCTCGGACAGTTCCATGCACTTCTAGGATCCCCTTCTGGCACTGGCCTTTCTGCAGCAGAACCAGCATGGGTCACAGGGAATATGGACCTGCTCTTAAGATTTTCAGAGGAGATGTGGAATGGTCAGCGGTTGTCCCTGAAGCTAGCAGATGGTGGAAGGATGAGCTCGGGTTTGGTGGCAGGTATTTGTTTCTTTTTGCACATCTGTTTTAATTTAATATTCGAAACTGGAATTGGGGAAGAATATTTTGTAGGTTGCATAGGGCCAAAGCCTGTGGTTGGGACAGAATCGTGCCAGCATGGAAAGCAAAGATTGCATCGGGATCCCAAACTGCTGATGTCTCTGGACATGCCCACATCATCCTATGCAGAACCTTTGCACTCCCAGCCTAGCAGAAGATGGGATGGAGAAGTCACCCTGGCCTGTTCACTGTTACTGTTTCTGTTGTAAAGGGCTTAAGATCTATGGCCTTTGATATGGCCTGGATACAAGAGCCATCTTCTTTATTCAAACACTTTTGTAACTGATGGGCTATCAATACTGTCATTGAATTTAGTATTTTTAAAAGAAATACAAAGTGTACGGTGTGTAGGTGAGCAGAGTGGTTAGTACATGTCATGGGAATGGGATTGGCAAAGATTAGTACTCATATTCCTTCTGGGGGCTGGGAGAGGGCTCAGTGGTTAAAGCGCTCACTGCCTAAGGTGAGGACTAGAATTCAGGACCCCAGAACCCGCATACATGTGGGATGGTGTGACAGCCCACCTGTGGTTCCAGCTCTCAGAAGGGAGAGACGGAACTCCCAGAGCAAGCTGACTAGCCACGGCTAGTCACATAGGTGAGCTCTGGAATCAATCAAGACACTCTTTTTCAATGAACAGTGTAGAGATTGATTGAGGAAAAATTCCAACAACAACTATATGCACACACGTGTACATCTGTATCCACGTGCAACAACAACAACTCATACACACACACACACACACACACACAAATCTTTTAAAATGCCATTTGGGGAGGCTGAGGACATCAGTCAATGAGTAAAGTGCTTAGCTTATCAGTATGAGGATCTGAGTTCAATATCCAGCACCTGCATGAAAGTCAGACATGGCAATGTGTGCCTGTGACCCCAGTACCAGAGAGCCAGAGCCAGGAACTCACTGGCTAGCCAACAGAGTCAAACTAGCAAGCTTTGTGTTCAGGGTGAGACACTGTCTCAAAAAGGAAGGTAAAGAGTGACTGAGGAAGATACCTGAGGTCAACCTCGGACCTACACACATGCACACATATACACACCCACAAACACACATACACAGACACACATGCAAACACAATACATACATAAACACAGACACACACGCAAACACACAGACACACACATATACACACAAACACACATTCACGCATACACATATACAGACCCACAAACACACACATACATACATGCAAACACAATACATACATATACACAGACACACACGCAAACACACACACCCATACAAACACACATACACAGACACACACGCAAACACAATACATACATAAACACAGACAAACACACAGACACACACATATACATACACACAAACACACACACATATGCATACCCACGAACACACACATACATACATGCAAACAATACATATACACAGACACACACGCAAACACACACACCCATACAAACACACATACACACATGTGCATACACACACAAAGACAAAATGCTTGCTTGTTATCCATGCTTCTTTTTCAGTGCCAGGGATGGAACTGAGGGCTTTGACCATGCTCAGCCAGGACTCTACCACTGACCTGAACCTGCACCCCGGTTATTCATGATTTTTTATTCTTCTCTCATACACTACATCCCAATTGTAGTTTCCTCTCCCTCCGCTGCTCTCAGTTCCCCTCCATACATGTCCCCTCTCCCCTCGATCCACTCCTCTTCCACTTCCAATTCAGAAAAGAGCAGGCCTTCCAGGGATATCAACCGCACATGGCATAACAAGATACAATACGACGAGGCACAAATCCACACATCAAGGCTGGCTGTTATTTTTATGAGAGCCCAGCACAGGAGCTGGGCCTGGTGGTGCACACTATTAACCCCAGTGCTGGGGAAGAGGAGCTAAGCTGCTCCCTGGGGTTGCTCACTAATTCAATTAAAATAAACAAAAAGGAAGAATAACATTGATGACATAGAGATATTAAGATGAGCTCAAAAGGTGATTTTCTAAACCACCATTTTTTTTTCCCATAACAAATAGATTTTTCCTTAGGTTATTGGTAAATAAAGCCAGCTTCTTACCTTGGCTCTACGCAGCCAAGTCTACGATGAGACTTGCCCATCACGTCTGGTTCACTAGGAATTTAATTACACCCTACATCTTCCCTGCTCAGATTTATCACATTTATGTCCACTTATTGCCAGATATATTTAAAGTGACAGCTAATGATCAAATGCAGACATTTAAATGCTTTTCAGATTTGTTTTACTTGTATGTTTGTTTTGCTTGCATGTGTGCCTGTGCACACGCATGCATGGTGCCTGCAGAGGTCAGAAGAGCGTGTTAGAGACCCTAGACCTTGAATTACAGCCTCCATGTGAGCGCTGGGAACACGACTTCTGCAAGAGCAACTTTTACCTCCGGAGCCCATCTCTCCAGCCCCTAAATGCAGGTGTTTTTTAAAAACAGTTTCTCAGAAAAATCAGATGTTTTTTGCATCATGGCCCTGACCTAGGAGCAGAACTTGCTGGGGAATGTTCTGCTATTTCACGGATGTGATTGGTTGTTTAGCTTTCTCATTAAGCTGTCCATTCTCACGGAGACTCCTAGCCCAGGCTACTCTCCAACTCACTGCGTAGCACAGGATGACCCCACACTTCTAATTTGCCTGCCTCTGGTTTTCAAGTGCTGGACCACAACATCTGGTTTTGCTCTCGCTTCTTAGAGCAGAAGCAACCGCAGGGAAATGAGAGGGCTTTGGAAATCACTTGACAGGAAACGGAACTCAGCAGGTGAAGCTCAGAGGTAACGGGGTGCTGGAGCATTAGGAGACGCCAGCCCTAGCACCCCAGTGTATCCCAGAACTCCCAGGGGAGGAAACGGATAGTTCTCAGGCTGACATATGTCTAGCCAGATGTTTCCAGAAAGCCCCTTCCCTCCCATCTCTACCAAGCAGACTTGTCACTTTGGCCCAATCTGTGATCATCCCAGAGGCACTGGTGCAGGGGGAGCCCCCACTCTGTTCCCTTTCATCAGCCTGCTCCCCTGTACCCATCCTCTGAATCTGCCTTGGGAGAGGAGGAACTCCGGATGGACGAAGGCCCAGGCGGAAGGGCATGTTCTCAGTTCAGTAGAATCCCTGCCCTGCCTAGAGCTTCAGGCCAGTCTCTATGGCTTGGAACACAGCCGCTGAAATGATGGCCTCTAACTCCCTCCCTTGGGCCACAGTGGCAAAAACGATTAAAACTTAAACATCTTCCTAATGGTACTGATTTTTAAACCAAGAACTGAGGTGAAAATCCCGCCCATAAAAATCCCCACAATTTGATTCATGGTGATTAGGGTTTCAGAAAACTCAGATTCTCCTCATACTTGATATGTAGCCCAGGCTGCCCTTCAACTTCTGATCCTCCTGAGTGTTGGGGTTGTGGGAATGTGCCACCATGCCCAGCCAAACTTGAGTCCCATACACCACAAACGTCAGAGCAAACACTTTTCACAGCTGGCCTGGGGCAGCTGATCTGCATGGCCGCCGCTTCCACAGGAAGTGTTTTCCGCACTTCAGCCTCCAAACTGAACTGGTCAGGCGGCATCACAGTTGTGGTTGCAAGTCTTCACCAAACTTGTCCTTCTAGAGTTGGATCAAAACTATCAGGCAGGGCTGGAGAGATGGCTCGGCAGTTAGGAGTGCTTGCTGCTCTTCCAGAGGACCTCGGTTCAATTCCCAGCACACATTTGGGGTGGCTCCCAGCTGCCTGTAACACCAGCTCCTGGGGGATCTGACACCTTCTTCTAGTCTCCGTGGCACTCACACACACAAGGCATACACTTACACACAAACACACATGGCATGTGCTCACACACACACAGAAGTAAATCTCTAAAAGGCAATGTCAATCTAGGGCTGGGAATGTAGTTCAACTGGTAGAGTGCTTACCTAGTCCAAAGTCCTAGGTTCGATCCTCAGCACCACGGTGTAGTGGCGCATGCCTGTAACTCCAGCACCTGGAAGTGGAAGCAGAGGATCAGAAGTTCAAAGTCAGGGAATATTCTCAGCTGAAGCACAAATCAGCTTACTTAAAATTAGCTCATGGCCAATAAATTCAACAGAAGCATAAATACCCTGGTACTTCACAGAAGGGAGAGCCGGGAGGAAGGAGGTAATTTTATCACCAACTGATTAAATCACTTTTGAAAGCTTAGTCATCACTTTTTAAATATTTACTTTTATTATTTTTTTAGTTATGTATCTGTGTGTGAGTATGTGCACATTATATAGGTGTTTGTGGAGACTGGAGGTGTCAGATCCCCTGGAGCTGGAGTTGCCAGACATGGGTGTTGGGAGCTGAACTGAGGTGCTGCTCTCCAAGAGTAGCTTGAGCTCATACTGATGAGTCGTTCTCCACCCATCACCTTTAACCTGGAAGAGTTTTCTATCCTGGGCGTCTGTTTTAAGATGAGCACAGTATAAGATGCACGTTGTTTTCCTATTACAATGTCAAAATCCCCTTAGCTATGTTTCCAAAAATATTTTTTCCTTAGGCCAAATTTCTGTCTGCAGTGGGCTGTGAGGAGGCTTTATATGGTGTCCATTTCATTTGGTTGCAATAGTGAAGAGTCAAATGAAAGGGAAGGACTCAGAACCGCGCTGGACAGTCATACACACAGGGACAGATTACACACTTCTGGGGACCCATCCCGGAGGAGGCAGACAAAAACATGGCTTACAATATTAGCATGGCGAGGTTTTAACTAGCTAGGGCTTGCAGATGTGCTAGGATGTCCCAACTGTGCTTCTAAAAGACCCTGTACAACCACCCACTTCTGTAGTGCTGAATAATAAA